ACTGCTACAATATTTTAAGTTACGAAATCAGAGACAAAATCATACTTTCTCGGAATAAACGCACCATTTATTTATTTTTATTTTTTTACGGATGCAGATTTTTAACTCCCAAAATATGAGGATTAGCCGCAATCTGAGAAATATGGTCCCAATAGATTGGTCAGAAGAGCGCTCCAAAGTTTGGACCCCTAAACGTTAATTTTACTTTTTGTGTATTTCGCTATATCTCGAGAACTTTTGACACGGAATGAAAATATTTTGCACACAATTATAAAATTCTTTTATCTAAAGATAATTATATGCAAAATATCACTTTTAGTAAATATTTATTATTATTTTATTTAGTTACGGTCGAAAAAATTTTGAATTGTAAGGTATAGAAATTTTTGCATTATTTTAAAGATAATTTTACATGCAAAATACAAAATATGAGCAAATTTTGCCATGTAAAACTATATTCTTTAAAATACCTTGCTATTAATCCTTTTACACCTTACTATTAAAATTTTTTCGATCATTAATAAATAAAATAATAAATATTTACTAAAAATTATTTTTTGCATGGAATTATCATTGGATAAACGAATTTTATAATTGTGTTTATAATTTTATTATTGTAAATTGGTATATTTTCATAAAAATAATTATGCCACGAAATTATAGATATCATTAAGCAAATTCGTGAAAATAATTTCAAAACTGTTCCTTGCATTGTAAAAATTTAGCTACGCTTAACGTTTCCCTCAAGAAAGCTCGAAATTCTACTATCATTTTCGCAAAATTTAGAGATTGGCACTCGTAAAAAATATTCATGTCGTTAAGTTTGTGAAATTTATTTTTAAAATGATCCTTGCAACTTAAAATTTTAGACAAATAATTGTTCATTCTCTAAATTTAAGTTTCCAAACTATTGAGGCCAAATTAACTCGATAACAATGTAGACAGAATTTACCTTTTTGTCTGCTAAATGAAATTGAATACCTGTTTGTAATAGAGCATCTTAGCTCTAAATTCAATTAGATAAAGATTTTTTTTTCGCAACGGGAAGTTTATTTTATTTTATTTCTGTAATACAAAATTAAAATTTTTTTTTACATGTTTAAAAAGATAAATTCATTTAAGTTTCATTCGTAATTTGTTCCCAGTTAAAATATCTTTTTTTTAAACGATTTTCTTGTGTTTTGCTTGAGAAACAACCCATTTTAGTGTCCAGTTTTATTCTATTAAACTTTATATTTGACTGTTTTTTTTTTATTCAAAAAAAATGTTTTTACGTTTTTAAAAGACACACCCATAGAAGATATAGGTTTCGGGCAACAAATTTGTGAAATTAATTTCTAAAACTTCTCTTGTAACATTGAAATTCAGCTACGTCTTCATCTAGAGCATAAATAATCGCTGGTTCCATAATTGGCCCTAAATTTTAACTCTTAGTTAACTAATTCTATCATATGCAACATGATGTACTACTTATGTATGCTCCTCACACCTGTTTACTAAACTGCAAAATATTTTTCCAAAAAATTTAAAATAGTACTTCGTTAAAAATTCAAAACTTGATTAAAAAAATTAAAATGTCTCCAAAAAATTGGCCTATACTTCTTTGGGGTCAATACTATAGTTATAGATTTCTTATTGCAGAGGGTGAAATTAATTTCTAAAGCTTATCTTCTAACCTTTGAATTCTGCCATGTGGCATAAATAATCCCTCTGTGGTATTGGCACTAAATTTTAACTCATAGTTACCCAATTCCATCATGCAACGTCTACCTAACATCTGTATACTCTTCACATCCATTTACTTCACTACTAAACATTTTTGAAAACATATAAAATATGTAGTACTTCATTAAAAATTCCAAAATTGATTTTAAAAAAAATTACAATTCTCTAAAAAATTGGCCAATATTTCTTTGGAGTCAATATTATGGATATTGGTTTTGTGCCGCAAATTTGTGAAATTAATTTCTAAAACTTCTCTAGTAAAGTTGAAATTCAGCCATGTTTTCAATAATAGCATGAATAATCCATCTATAGTATTGACCCCAAATCTTAACTTATAGTTACCATGCAACATCTACCCATGTATGCTATAAGCATCCATTTACTAAACAGCTAAATGCTTTTCGAAAATATTTATAATATTTCGTTAAAAATTAAAAAACAAATAATAAATTTAATTTCTCTAAAAAATTAAATTTTTTTAAAACTTTTTAAGATTTTAGTTTAGAAGGGTTCGAAGATTGTAATAGTTGAAAATTTTACATGCCTTTAAAAAAAAAATTTCTTAAAAAAAAGTTAAGGTCATGGTTTGTTAAGTATTTTAAAGAAATGGTATTTACATATAATCGTTCTTATAATGGCATAGCAAATTATTTTTTATTTATTTACTCTTTACTGGTCTGCAAAACCCCTAAGTGACTATATAAATTGATTGGATAATCCATGATCTTAATATACGGAAGGATACCAACATGTCCATAAATTTTATTCTCAAATTTTCTTCACAAATTTAAGAAATAAAATAAGAAAAACTAAATGTTACTTTTGTGGATTTGAGGAAGCTTAAAATATTCATAGACCTTGGTTCTTTCCATAAATACTGCAACAATTATAAACCCCAAATGCAAGGATTTTTTCTTGTAAAATGTACATAATAAAATGTACATGCAAAATGTAAAGGGTTTTTTTAACGGTGGGCACTGAAGCTGTCATTTCTTTGCATGGAAGGTGCCGGAAGTGTTGCTCATTTTGCATTGCCTGGTGAGCACCTTGTGACCTAAGTCACGGAGGCGAGTGATATTACCCACACCACAATGCCACAGATACCCGTTTATAGGGAGGGACACATTTACACATAACAGAGGACAACACACAGAGAGAAACATCCATGCCATCCAAATGTAAATGCACATCTTGTAAAATGTACATCGAATTTTCATGAACGGATTTTTTGAGTATTGAGAATTTCTTACTCGAATTGGAAAATATTTGCACACAATTACAAAACTTGTTCATTCAAAGATAGTTCAGCACAAAAATTTTTTTAATTTTATTTTAATAAATAATAGCAGTAAAAACTCTTTTTTGTAAGGTATACAAATTTTTACATCATTTTAAAGAACAATTGGTATTTTTAAACAATTGGACATATTTGGTTCAAATTCAGTATTTTTCCTTAGAACATTACATTCATTAAAATCATGTAAAAATTTGTATACATAACAGTTCAAAATTTTTAAGTTATTATTAATTAAAATAATAAAAAAAAATAGATAACACTACTAATAGATACTTTGTTGTACTTATACAAATACTTGATTTTGCGTAATTCAGGTTCTGAAATTTTAAATCTGAAATCAGTTTTGCTCCTAAAGCTCGATTTTTTTAAATGGCATTTATACTCCATTTTTTGTTGAAATGTACAAGTTTAAAAACTTTACATAGAACAGAGGGTAGCGTAAATGTTGAGACCTACTTCGAGGGGAGTTAGGCCACATCATCAGGATTAAAACTGGAAGAAAAAAAACCTGTGTCCTATGCTATATGAAGAAATTTTTGAGATTAATTTTACTTTTTGCTTGAGAAATATAGNACCAACATTTTTATTACATGTTGATGAAGCAACTTTATTACAAAAGTGTGACGAATTCCAAAGAAAATATTCAGATATAATAGGCCCTAGTTTTTCACTTCAATTTATTAATATTTACCACCTAGTTTTACCTCAACTAACTTAAGCACGGACTGTTCACCAATTATGTAAAGAAATAATGAGCAAATATGGAGTGCTAGAATGCGACCTAACGGAAGTATTTACAGCAATGTTATTATTCTTTACAATTCCTGTCACTTCTGCAGCAGCTGAAAGGTCATTTAGCAAATTAAAAATAATAAAAAATTATTTAAGAAATAATATGGGCCAAACTCGACTCCGACATTTATCGCTAATAGCAATTGAAAACAAAACCGCATCAAGCCTGGATTTAAACGAAGTCATTGATACTTTTGCGAAAACTAAAGCTAGGAAAAAATTGTAAATATAATTGTTATTTAGTCAGTTGGTAGGCCCGACCTTTATATAATAAACCCTTGAATCTTCTCTATTTCGTTTTATTAGCCAAACCTACACCAAGTATTAATTGTAATTTATGTTGTTACTCTTTAATATTTTTATTACCTGCCCTGCAGTGCACAAAAAAGAGATTAAGTAGCTTAGCATTTTTAAAGAATTTGTATATTTTATATTTTTATTTGATAAAATCTAATCAGTTTACATAGCAGTGGGGCCCCATTTTTTAATTTGCCCCAAGGCCCTTGGTTACCTAGCTACGCCACTGAAACCGTGGACTATAAATTGGCGCTAAGACATAAAACCAAGCATTAAAACCATTACACAACATTTTAAAAATTCAATTTTTGAAAGTTAGCTTTGCTTCAAGTAGTTTTAAAACAACATAAATAATTTCAAACAACTTAATTTTAGATTGACAAACTTTAATACAAAACAAAATTTAAAAGATTATATCAAAAACAAGAAATTAATTTAGAAAAAAAAAAACATTATTGTATTTTATAATATCATTTTCTAATGTAAAACTTTAATGTATCTTCATAATTAATGCAATAAAATAGTAAAGTTTATGAAAATTCTTTTACATTTTTGTTAAAGAGCAAAAAAAAATTTGCATTAATAAAGAAATTCATAGCCATATATTATATAAAAATTATAAATATAACGGGGGCATTTCTAGAGAACAGTGATACGTAAGGAAACCTTGATTAGAATCGAAATTGGAGGTACTTTACATAAAAATCAGAGATTTGTTAAATAGAGCAGTGTAATTTTAGAAAGTAGATGATGAAATAAACAGGGACTATATATATGTTCCCATTCTGTATATCATTCCCAAAGTTTAAAAGCAATATTATTAAAAAAAAATTAAAAAATTTACACAGTTTTCCTACTTTTTTTTCAAGAATTACTATTGAATTACTGAAGTAGAAACAAAAGACTAACCCTTTTCGTTAAATGCTCCTTTGTTGACCAAAGGCTCTATATCCTTCATAACTATGTCTTCTCTTTCTTTACCTTCCAACCAAAAGTTTAAAGCCACTTTAGTAATCTCGCTTCCACCTGCATTACTAAAAAATACATAAAATTAATTAAATTAGCATGTGAAATATTTAAAAACAAAATAAAAAATTTATATCTTGCTGTCACCTGAATGACTTAAAATAGATACAAACAGGGATGATAGTAAACTTAAGTAAAATTTTCCGAGCTTTATTTATACATCCCATCCCTGAAAAAAATACTCTTATATTAAAAAGAGTGAACTTTATTTTCTTTTTCAAATAATGTAGTTCAAAAGTTTTAATTAAGAAACTCTGGTATAGAGTAGAAAATAAAAGTTTATAAATCATTATAACAAATAGAGTATATGTAGCTTGCAACTCCAATTAGCTTAGACAGAAACTGGTGGGAAAAAAATATAAGTTTAAACTTTGAAATAATTTAGGGCAATTTTTTAAACCAAATAGTTTTTTTTAATTTTAAACCTCAATAATATTTTTGTAAATGATGGTTCAAATTTTTTAGATCTATCAGCACAAAATTTTCAGACAGCGAACACTCCTGCACTAAGTGAAAATTTAAAGAACATGGAACAATGATTTTGGGAACTTGAGCGAAAAAAAGCTCCAAGTGGAAAAGATAACAAATTAACCTTTTAATGTTGAGTAGCTACCATTTCAATAATTTTTAAAAGCCTATACTAAAGTTTAATCTGGCCTGGACAAAAACAAATTTATCAATAAAATAGTTTTAATGCCTGAGTAATAAAAAATTGAGCACAAATTGTTTTGAAAAAAAAAGATTTATATTTAAGATATGTGATGAAAGAAATCAGAATAGCTAAAGTATTAATGAACAAAAGCATACAATACAGCTGCTTAAATGTAACACAAATTATAATTTTAAAACTATAAATAACCTATTTTGATATATATTGCTGTCAATAAATATCTTCATTCACATATACATCACTTTTATTAAAGTTAATATTTAACCCACTTTCGGCCAATGGTGCATAAACGCACCATTTTAATAAATAATTTTTTATTAATACCGTGGCGAATATTCTTGCATAATTTTATTTTTCTGTTGTTTAAAAGGGTTCTAAAAACATCTATAAAATATTTGTAATTCAATTGGAGTAAATAATTTCGGTTGGGAAATTTTCAAAACATGCTAATTTTTGAACTTGAAATGGTTATTGAAAAAGTCCATTATTTTAAAACGTATAATTATTCCACTTGCAATTTATTATATGTTCTTATAATGGGTTAAAATTGTAAGTTCTGAAAATAAAATTGAAATAAAACAAATGTAACAAAAAAATTCCAAAATTTAGATTCAAATTTAATGGTGTGTTAACGCACCATTGACCGAATCCACTTTTTATGCAAGGTTTAAGAGTTTTATTAAAGTTTTGTTGTATATTCAGAGTTTCATTAGTACCATTGTTAAGTTTTTATTTTTATCAGTTTTATTGTGCTGAGGCTAACAGTGTTCGACAAGATATGCCTTAAGGAACAAGTGTTGTTCTGAAGTTTCTTAGCGTTGTTTCAATGCCTGAGATGGAAAAATATAAGTTTTGATAACTTTCTCTCCTCCTATACTTTATTTGAAATTTTGAAAGAAAAGGGTTTCTTTGCATGTGGCACAGCTCGCGAAAATCTCATAGGTGGTTGTATATTGGATGACTACAGAAATAAGAAGAAGAAAAAAGAAAACATTGTGGTTCCTACGATATTGCTTTCAGCAAGGATACAGAAACATATGCAATAAAATGGAACGACCAGAGCCGTTTTTAAGGATGGGCCCAGTGGGCCCTGGCCCAGGGCCCCGAGTTCTGATGGGGCCCCTGAAAAGTCTGAAAATCTCATTGCATTTTTTATTATTTCTTACTTATTTTTACTTTAATTTCTTTTTTTTTTATTTCTAACTCATTTATTATTTATAACTCAAGAGGGCCCCCAGATCCCACTTTTTTTAAAGTTTTATTCAGATTATTTTTTCTTTTTTGCATAGTCGGATGCTTTTCAAAATCTAATCGAAGTGTTTACAATTATAAAATAATTGTTATTCTTCACTTTCCTAACCAAAAGAGCAATAAAACACTTTTTCCACGGATGAAAATATGATTCCCTCTTTCGTAGCTACCACCCACAGAGTTGTCAAGTAGCCTCCTCACTTTACACTGTGAGAAAATGTTTTTAGCTTCTTGATATTGCCTAGGGCAGGGGTCGGCAACCTTTTGAAATGAAAGAGCCGAAAGTTACAATTTTACAAAATTTCCCGGTTTTAAAGAGCCACTGAAAATTTTTGATTTAATACTATAATATTTTTTTATGTATATATGATTTTTAATTTTAAAAAAAACGGTTTTGAATACAGAATAATATTTATTCTTCATTTTTAAAATACGCTAATAATTTTTTTTAAGATTTAGCTTTTATTTAATTTTTTAACTTATTTCTTTTTGAGGGGGGGGGGGTAAAAATATTTGNGGGGGGGGGGGGATAAGAATATTTGAGTCATTAAAATTCGATGAAAATTGTAAATTTTCCTACTAATTCTTGTCAAATTTTCAACAGAAAACGCAATTTTTTTTTATTAAATGTGCAACGAAACACAATCTTATCAGAAAGATTTTATAATAATTCTTTTTAATTTTTCATAGCAATTCCGTAATAATATTCATTTATATTATATCAGAATTTTTTCACAATTTTCCTTTTTTAAGAAATATGTACCGTCTATTCTTGTTATTGTTAAAAACAATTTTTAAGCACTTAATTATTAAACATTTAAATAAATTTTGCATTTTTTTGTCAAGGCAAACGTTAAATCGACTTATTATGAAGTGCTAGAAACGATGGTCACGTACTATTTCTATTTATTGTAATTTCTATTTCTATTTATTGTAAACATTTATAGAGCCTCGAGCTTTCCAACTCAAATAATTTAAAATTTTTTTAAAAAAATTAATTTAATAAAAGTCACTGAAAGTAACAATCTTCTATTATTTTAAATATCTTTTATACGCAAAATTACAACATTAATGTATTTGATTGCTAAATTTAATAATATGCAGGTAATTCGGAGTGACCGCTCTTAATATGCATTTAAAGAAATTTTGTTTCAAGTGAACGCGAAAACGAACGGATAGAGGTCACACGTTAGAATTTTAACAATCGAAAACAAACAAATCACTGTTGAGGAAGGCGAGTGTAAAAAGGCGATTAACGANATTTAAAAACTAAACTCAGCGGCGCGACAGCCATTGAGGGCCAAGGCGTACTGTGCCCATCTCAGTTTTCTTGACCTTGGGCTCTGGGGTACAAGAGCAGATGTTCCGGTCAGGTGGTCAGCCGAGCGCGGAACCCCCAGTGTTTAATTCCCAAGCATGCTTGGTACTCATTTATCGACCCACTGAAGGGATAAAAGGCTGATTCAACCTTGCCCGGCCTGAGGATCGAACTAGGGACCTGTGGCACGACAGCGCGAAGCGCTACCGCTCAGCCACCAGGCGTCACAATCAAATTTGCTGTATCATTTTTCAGTATGAAAATTATTATTGGATCAAAAGAAGTAACTAAATGTAGGAGAATAAAATACAGACATGTGATTGCTGGAAGAAGAAATTAACTGATTTTTTTTTCAGTTCTAAATTTGTTATCTTTTTATGAATTTAGAAAATAATAAAAAAATTATTTTTATGCTCAAAATTAACATTTATAAAATTTAAAGAAAGAAAAATTTGTGTTGAATAATATTTTTTTCAACACATAAAAGAATATATACATTGAAAAAAATTACATATTCCTTCTTTTTTGCACTTTTCAAGTCATTAGCGCATGAAAAAAAATGGGCGAAAAAAGATTGATGATAATATCACGTGTATGTACAATGAACTCACATGAATCAGGCATGTTAAAAAAGGGTTAATTAAAAAAATTAATTATGTGTTGCAATAAAAAATATCAAATTAAAAATATCAAGATTTTTTTAAAAAAAATATATAAAAATAAATAGTGATAACTGGGAAAAATGATAGAATTAACGTGTTAAATGGTGAATGCTTAGGTACTGGTAAGGGCATAATAAATGTCTCATTAACAAGATTTTGGATAAATAACGAAATTTAAATTTTAAATCAAAGGAACTCCAAGAAAATTTTGTTGGAATATAAATTATTGAGAGTACTGAACTACACTTTCACAGAGCTATATGTAAAAAAAAATACATCTCACTAATAATTATGAAATAGTAATTTATTCCATCCTTTTAAATAACAAAAAAGTAAATAATGTTGACATCAGCGAATACCAACATCAAATTTTGGAATCGTTATTAATCGATACACAGAGTCACACTGAACTAAAAGTGCACACATTATTTTAGTCACAACTGAGTAACGTCATTTCTTTTAACCAGTCAGCCCCGTGGCAGAATTTTTAACTTTCTGCAACCAATTCTCTCTAGTACTAATACCTTTCTAATTTTCAATAGTAGCAAATATATGTTACAAATTTAAAGTTACAGAAGCGCTTTCTGTTTACAAAAAAGCTTTTATGTATAGAATAGAACAGTATATAATTTTTTTAATTATAAATGTAAGAATTTTTTTTAAATTTAAATATAAAATAATACATATTCTAATATTATTGGCGATATTCTCCTGTTCTAAACAATATTTGTATTGTTAACCTTTTCAAATTTTTGCTATTTGGAAATTGCTTTTTATAATATCAATCTGAAATTCTAGCTAAAGCCAGTCATTGCAGAATTTTCTTATTCTTAAAAGAAAGTAGAAAAAATTGTCAGCATTTATTCTGATGTGTGAGAAAGGCAATTTTTGAATATAATTCTGCAGAAAGGGGAAAAAAAGTTCTGTGGGGAAAAATATTTCAAAAAATTCTGCAGATAAAAAACCCAAACTTTTTTGCTTCCTAAATAAAAAATCTTTCTGCGAGAACTCTGCAATGTTCTGCGACAATGCCGCCGTGTCGCTACGATTCTGCCACAGGGCCAATCAAGAGTACTCCAATCTGTAAGAAACTAAAAATAAAGTTTATAAGAAATATGTTTATTGTACCACAATTATTGATTCACTGAAATCTGTGAATCGACGGTCTTGAGATTGGTAGAATTCCACGAATTAGCAGAAGAATCACATGCCTGAAAATAATATATCACCCACTTTCAATTTTCAAAAAGAATGTTACCTCAGAAATACAAAAATGTTCCTTCTATAATCAATACCATCAATATCCTCATAAAAATCAAGAAAGGGCTTCAATCCATCAATCAGACCAGGGTGCATTTTATCTACTTCATCAAAAATGAACAAAGATTGCCCACATTTTTTTGTATACTCAGCAATTTCCCTTAGTAGTCTTTCCTACAAAATTTTGAAATAAAACTTAGTGACATTTAAAGATAAAAACTAAATTGTAGAAATTATTATTAAAGTGCAAGTAACAACTGTTTTTAATGAATGCTAGATAAATAGAAAATAGAACAGGAAATAAAGATATACTTAATGATATGTAAAGTGTGCAAAATGAAAAACAGACCAACCGGAATAACTTTTGATCTAATGATCGGATCTTCACATTTTAAAACGCAATCTTAATGATTGAAGGATTTAACCTTAACCCCTTCCTTCTCGCTCCCGTGAAAATGATGGGGATAGATTTTGCCCGCTATTTCTTGCTCCCGTGATGTTGACAGGCTGGAGTGCTCAGTAGTAACACGCTAATAAGAATAAAGCTAATTCATTTCTTTTGCCCGGAATACACTTTATTTCTCATTTTACACACCTGATGGCAGTACCAGTAAATTTTTAAGGTAATTGTAGATAGATAATTAATTTTTAACTAGTTGCAGCACTAATCAAATACTTAATACAAATACAAAAGCCAAAAAAATAGGCACTTTTATGACCGTTTTCTTAAAAATTAAACGATCGTTAAGGGGTTAAATATGCTAATTAATTAATATGAACGATATTTTAGGTTACGAAATCAGACACAAAAACATACTTTCTCTGAATAAACATATATTTTTCCAAACGGATTCTGATTTATGACCCCCAAAGTATAGGGGGTAGCCGCAATCTGAGAAATATGGTCCTAATAGTTTGGTCAGGAGAGCGGTTCAAATTTTGAACCCCTTTATGATAATTTTACTTTATACATATATCTATTCATTTAAAAAGTTCTCGAGATATGGTGAGATACAAAAAAAAAATTAAGATTAAGGGGTCCAAACTTTGGACCGCTCTTTGGACCATATTGCTATTGTATTTTGGGAGTCAGAAATTTGAATCCGACAAAAAAGAGGTATATTTATTCAAAGAAAGTACATTTTTGTGCCTGATTTCCTAACTTAAAATATGGTGTACCTTAATTAATTAGCATATCTGAGGTCACCCCATCATTAATATTGAGTACCAGAATGTGAAAATCCAATCATTAGATAAAAAAGCTAGTACCATGAACTATCGGGAATGGAATGAAGATTCCCGGCTGGAAAGTGAAACTGGGAAAGTTTGGTTCCATTAATGCTCAATACTGTACCATGAACACTCCCTTTGAATCAGATATTCCACGATAACTCACTCTCAGGGCGTGGCTAAAATTTAACCAATCACACAATTTACTTTAGATTTTCTTTTTGAGTTTGGCAGCATTAGCATGAGTAAAACGAAACGAGCTTCTGCTATTTAGATAATATTTTTGACTACTTATTGTTTTCTTTTTATAATGTTTTTTGTTTTCATTAGACTAAAAAAACATGAACTGCGAATACTTTGAAATATTCTTTAATTTATTATACATATAGTTTTATTAATTAAAAACTGTCATATTTATCATGTATAATTCATAAAATAAAATCATTTTTTCATAATAAATATTTCTGATATATCCCTTAATACGTTTTCATTATTTATTTTAAATATTTTTCAAAAAGTACAACTCTTAAAATAATGATCATATTTTAATGAATTAAGATTAAAAATTTCGTGCCTGAGAACTGCAAGTAGATAGATTACTAATTATACTAGTTTTTAAATCAAAACTGATTTCCAGAAAGAATTCAAATTTTATCAGACAAAAAAATTAACGCTTACCTTGATCTCTTTGAAATTAATTTAATTTAAAAAAAGTTCATTAGTTTTCAATTAAAATTGTAACAATATGAATGACTAAAAAGTTACTACTTTGCTTATTACTTTGGTTTATTTGTTACATTATAAAAGTGACTGTTTTGACTGATAGTTAAATAAATATGTTCACAAGAAATTAATTTCTAGAACTGCGTAAAATTTTTTTCGTGATTTGTAAAATCATTTTACGTATGAAATACTTAAAAATTATAGTTCAGGGAACTACTTCCGCAGTTTTTATAGTATATATTTTAATGGAAGAATGAGAATAAAAATTTTTAAAATGAGTAAGAGAAGAAATAAATACAAATTTCATAAATATTTTTTGAAACATTTTTATTCTTTTTTGTATTTCTAATTATAAATAAATTGTTTACTTTATAATACATCATGCCTGTAAAAAATTCCTTTAAATGTGCTGCCATTGGTGTATAGTATAAAGAACTATCGTTCGAAAGGAAGTTAAATATTGTTAAATTAAAAGTTCATCGAAAGAAAATTAAAAAAAGAAATGATTGGAACTTCAGAAAAAGGTATTGGCCAAGTAATACATCCCGTAATAATAACATAGAAATAGTAACAATTATTATATAATGAGAGCATAATTATTTTTAGTTTGCCGTAATTTCTTAGTTAACTCTGAAAGTATCTTTTCGTTCACACATACTAATGAAACAAAACATTTCTCTTTTAATTATCGTCTTGAAAATGGCTCGGGCACGTTTATCTTTTAGAAATTTTGTTATCTTCTCTTATGAAATAGAAAAAAATTAAGACATTCATCGACGAAATATCGTATTTAGTCCTTAAAAATTCATCATTCCCTCCTTGGAACGACGATTCCAGGTGCCGGAGACTGGTTGGAATGAAACCGATTCCAATTCCAGCCGAGAAACTCTTTCCAAGGTGTTCGTGGTGGGGGGATGGTGGGGGGTCCCGTTGGAACGTGACGTCATTCCCAGATGGAATTTCATTCCATGGAGCTCATGGTAGGGTTCCAGGGTGGTTCATTTTTGATTTTGCGCACTGGTTATTCAACTTAGAATAAGTAATGTACAGAGAAAGATTAATTATGAATTTAAAAAGAAATTCAGGTTCAACTTGAATATTCAGCATTTACGTAGAGACGATATGCATTTTTTCTCGAGCAATGTGCAAAAAACATGTTTTGTTAAGCAAGATAATAAAAAAAGATGACAGAAAACCTGTTTTTGTCAGGACTGAAAGGGGGTGAACAAATCAAATGAGGTTTTCACTGGATGCTTAGCTATTTAGCAATTTAGTATATATTGAGACAATATTGTTTTGAAAAATGCTCTATATATAATATAAATTGATAAAGTTAGAATGTCAAATATTGTCAATTTTTGTAATGGTTTACATTACAATGGAATAATAACAAACTAAAATATATTTTTTTTAGATGGATGCTCTTAGCTTAGAAAACTTTTACTTAATCATATTAACAGAAATTTCTTTGAAAGAGTTTATCTATTATTCAGATATAATATTTTGAGTACATTAAAATATGCATTTTAATGCACTACACTCAATTAATCCTGCTCCAAGAACTTGAACATCGAAACTTTCACTTTCAAATTCTTGGACTTCAAAATAAGTATTTTCATCAGTTTAAAAATAATATTTCCCCTTAATCTGTACAAACATAAAGAAAAATATATTGCTTCATAAGAAAAAATTACTAAATATAAATAGCAACTGTCACCAAGTAAATTAATCCTATAAATAAAAAATAAGTCACTGTTAAAATGAACTTATTGTTAAACAACTTTTTTAATGCATTGGAAATAGTATAATAATTAGCCAACTATTTTTAACATAATGAAATTATGGAAATAAATATAAGAATTCTGGTATTAAACATGATGTATCGATATTTTCTCTATCAGTATATTGAGTATTAATCTATTATTTCCTTCAGACAAAAGCTGTACAAAGTCATGTTTTTACAGTGTTTAACAAAATTACATCTTGGACATTAAATAAAACTTTCCCTTCTTCAATTTTTCCTCTCATTTAATTGATCGGGTTTTCTGAACACTGCAATGAAGAAAAGTTCATACACTACCTCTGCATGAATGCTATGTGTTATTAGTAAAATAAATAGTATACACATTGAAATTTAATGTCAAATAATGCCATAAACATTCTCTACATTTCTGTTTTTAGACAAGATGAAGAAACTCAGTTTACAAATTGTGTTGCATAACTCAAAAAATACTTATTGCATCAAAAATTGTAAAGGAAAAAATGTGTTTAAAAACATGATATTTTAGTTCAAAAATGATATCCTGTGCTATCAAGCTTTAATTTCACTTTAGAGAAAGTAGAAATTGTGCTTTAACACTAATCTGTATTAAAATAATAAACAAACATATGTTAATAAGCTTAGAATGACTTGTGATGTAGTAATATTTCAGAATTGAATTGAATTGAATGTAGGGTTTAGTGGCACAAAGTCCAAAGGAGGACATGCTGAGCCAAACAGTACGGTAAAACAGTTAAAAAGGCAAAGTACATGCACCACTTTATTTGTTGTACAATTATAACTGATAAAATGGTATAAGTTTGTAAATGGTACAAGTTTGTAAATAGAATCAGATAAAAGGTATGAATGAAATCAGGTAAAAGGCATGAATAAAATCAGATAAAAGGTGTGAATACGATATAAAATACATGAAGTAAGTAAAGTGTTTGCGAAAGTGAATAAAATTGCAAATGTATTAAAACATTTATATACAGTTAAAAATACCAACAGCACGTAAATATGCAAAAATGTTAGGATGATGAATATCATCCAGCAAATCCTGCATACATAAAATGGAACTCCCAAAAAACGTTAAACGAAGTTGGTCAAAACATGGACATGTTATTAAAATGTGATGAATCGAGAGAGGAACGTTACAGGTATTGCATAGAGGTGGAGGCTCTCCAAACAGTAAGTGGAGGTGTGTTAACCGGGTATGACCAATTCGAAGACGTGTAAGCTTTACATCAGCACTACGCAAGGGCAGTACTGGCAAATGGCCCAAATCGGTTTTAATGCTATGCAATTTATTAAACACTTGGAGATCCCACTGTTGTTGCCACAATGATGTCACAAATTTCCGAATATGCAGTTTTACATCAGAGAAAGGTATGGACAATGGTAAAGTAGATGTGGCAGACCGTGCAGCTGAGTCGGCTAGATCATTCCCTGGAATACCAACATGACTCGGTACCCAGCAAAATAAAATCTCAAAGCCATTCTTCTGAAGAGTGGTTAACAAATAAATAATGAAGCATAAAATTGGATGAGTGTCACAGTGAAACTAGTAATATTTCAGAATTTGCAACATTTTATGTTACTTTCCTGGTCTGTGTATTCTTAACATCATGACTCCCCAAAACACACACACAAGGGGCTAATACAAGTATATACCAAATACCATTTTCCAAGATAAATTTCATAGTTTAAAAAAAATAAATTAACTTTAACCGGAAACAACATAATAATTTGGAAAATTATGATTAAACATTTTTCTCATTTAAAAATATGATTTTGAAACAGAGAAAATTCTATTTAAAATGCTGAAAATAATTTTAAAATATTTAATGAATTTCAAACAAAAGATATTGAACATTAAAAGAGATATTATACAAATTATTACTCTATATTTTTTTGTATCTTCAGCGTGAGGGAAATCTCTCGTAGCAATGTACCAGTGAACAAAATCACTCTTTGAACCTTCTTCATACAAAGTATCAGCCAGAATTTTAGCAACAAAGTTCTTACCACCACCTGTCCAACCATGAAATGCCATAGATAGTGCTTTTTTTGGCTCTTTTCTCATAATGTGAGCTCTAACTGCATTAGTAACTGTTGATGCTACAAGATGTTGGCCAAATAAATGCTTTTTAAGATTGGAGTCAAGATCTACAAAGAAATAAATATTTTTTGCAAACTTGTTAGTAAGAAATATTTAATAAATTATTACTATATTACACTTATAACTATGCTTACTAACAAAATATTTTGTAATATACATGCTTTTAAATTTTAAAGCTTGACCAGGATAGCAGTAAAAGACACATATGCCAGTAGATAATATGCTTTTCATATCAAACTTCTACTGTAGTTTAAAAAATTAAATAAGCTTTTTAACTTAATAATATGTACCTCTATATGCTGTTTAAACCTGCTCAAACAAAAGTAATTATTTCCAATAATTTAGTGTAATTAAGCCTCTCTTTATTACTAAAATTACTTTACAAGAAGTCCACTATTCGGATAAATTCCCAAATCATTGTCAAAATACAGATAAGTCTTCCATTATTACAACAAAAAATTTCTAATCGAAATGCATTTTTCTGCTTTTTCAGTCAGCAATATTATATGTAAAAGATTCAAGTTGAAGACATTTTTATTTATTTCAAGTATCAATATAGAAATAAGGAAAACGAACATCACTTCCTTCTTACAAATTTAACGTCTTATTTTCATAAAGTAATGTTTGGGTGACTATTAACTAAGTTACCTTCTCATTAAAAAAAAAAGTTCAATTCTAATTTATAGAAATCCTGCTGCGTACTTCAAAAGAATGTGTCCTTTGTTGACCATATATTTATTATACCCACTTATTTCCAATCTTGACAACTTACTATTAAAACCAACCTTCACTGTTTTCAAAGTATTGCACTTCATTTCAATTTCTTGGAAAAACTTCTTACGATTTAGAAACTTATTGTTCAAACATTCCTGCTGCAAACATTCTTAAAAACAGCCTTTCATTAAGTGCTGTGCTACATAATTCAGTCTACAATCTGTCGGCAAAAGAAGTCTACTCTAGACATGTATTTTAAATCAAAATAATTGTTTAAAATAAAAGAAAAAGAGGTAAATAAGTTTTTTTTTCCATTTTTTGTCTCCTTATTGCTATTGAAACATTCAATGTGTACTACTGATAAAAACAAACTCACTATAGCTACTATTTCAAGTTTAATAAATTTAATTGTCGCATTGCAAATGCTTTTACTGTATTTACAGACTAAACCTTTATTTTCACAAATAAATTCAATTATTATTTCATTTTTCAGTTTAATTGGTCACTTAAATTAAAATCTATACTCTCATGAGTATTTTATTTTCAAAGTTACCCTACTGTGTGAGACAAAAAAAAACAGACAAATAATTTTTTATATAACTTGGCAAAATATAACAAATAATAATAAGAGTAGATTTTTACTGATAAATAAATTTAATTGGTTTCAAAGTGGCGGCATTTTGTAGCAATGCAGAGGCGTAGGCACTTATTAAAATTTTCAGCAATAGGCCACATGTTTTTTACCTTTAGTCTATCACATTCCAGCCAAAACAATTATTTCAGAGCAGGGTTCCCACTCTTTTAACAAAACAAAAATTAAGTTCTTTTAAGGACTTTTTTAAAAAAAAAATAAAGGACTTTTTTTAAAAAATTAAGAATTTTAAAAATAGTATGATTGTTTATCATCGATTAGATATATAACATCAATGACAGTGCCAATTATTTACCTTTCTTTAAAAAAAAATGCAATAAATAAAAATAATAAATAATAAACAATTTCAATATAATGAAAGTACTAATATAATTGAATTAATTAACAGGGTTCTATAAAGTAGGAGCAGGCAACTTTAGCCAACCTGGGATACAATTTTCCTTCAGTTTTGTCCAAGCTTCAGAACCATTTGTTAAGACCGGCCTGACAAGAATTTTGTAAATTAAGAACTTTGTTATTCTAGAAATAAACCTAGATTTAGTAAATTTTCTCAGCCCATAGAATTTAACAGATAGAGACAGCTCTATTTGAAAGATAGAGTTGATTTTTTATTTCTGGAGACAAACTGTTGCTATTATTATTATTACCTTAAATAATTGCTGTTATAAGAGATTTCTTAGTCCAAATCTTTCTTTTTTTACTTACAGCAAAATATTTTACGACGATTAATTCAAAATTATGAAGTTTAAATAGTAATTTTTAACAAGTTTTTGTAAATGTTTTGTGTGTAATGAATAGCAATTTTTATTTATTTCAAATACACTTTCTGATACATTTTCAGAAAAATAATACCAATAAAATTTAAACATGATAATGATGTTATGGGAAATTTTTTTGTTCAATAAGTTTTGTTTTCCTATTTCCCAGGATTTAAGAGAGCTAAGCAAAAAGAAGGCTGTGTAACATCTTTTCAAACTTGAACACAAACATGAGGAGTGCCTTGTATGGATATAATGTTTCCTATCTGAGCTGAATTAAATTTACATAATTATGAGAAGAATAAGTCATATTTGTATTTAAATTTAAATAATAAGGCTAATTTATATTTTAATTACTAATATTTAAATTATATGAATTTAACAATTGCATAGGGGGTCGGCCTATGGATCTGGTATAGCTCCGCTATCCCAGCAGGGATTGGAAACAACAATTACAAAATTTTAAAGATTTGAAATAATTTTTGAAAATAGAAAACCATTTCCCTGGTCATATACTATATTCGTAGAAGTTAGTATTGAGATATTATTTAGATTCAAGTAAAAGTATTAGTTAAAATGAAAATAATTAAAATCAAAGCAGAACACCAATTTGATAAAAATTATAAGTTTAAAAAATGCCCAAGCATAAATACAGTAGCTAGTGGACGTTTTTTCAAGAGGTTGCAATCTTTATATATATTCGCACTAGAATCTAGCTTGGCATCCATTTGGAGTGCACTTAGATGTAAACAGACTCTCTTCATAAGCATAATGGTTTTTCCTAATTTACAAGGAAGTATATCAAACATATAAGTTAGTTGAAGTTAGTCATTTAATTGAAATTAAGATAAATAGTAATAATAAACTAAATAAAACCAAATTATAAGGAGCTAAAGAATTATTAAAATCATCAAATTGGGTAATATAAAACAACATTCATGAATAAAACATGTAATATATTTGTTGTTTTTGTGTCCATGGATTTGTATCCATGGACATTGAAAGCCTGTATGATTGCGGCTGCTAGCCTCAATGCCTTGAAGCTATATATTTTATACCTGATTATAAATCTAAAACAAACAATAAAATACAGGGAAAATGTTTTTAATGAAATTGAATAAAAACATTTAATTACCAAAAGATAGTTAAAAGTAACATAAATATTATAATCCAGGACAGGGCAGGGTATAATGAAATGAACTAAATTAAATATATTTTAAAATTCATGAATAAGTAGAACTTATTTATTCACTGCAAAATGTATTGTAAAAGGGAGGAGAAAAAAACTCAAAATGTAGCGGAATCAGAAATGTATCACTTATAAAAAGAGAAAACTGCAATCTGCTTCTTAAAATAAATATTATTTAGCAATAAATAAATGTATGCTTATATTAATAAACAATCTTCTGCTTTTATTTCTTCATAAAAGCAGACAATTTTTAATGAAAGTAAATATGACTCCAAATCAGGCTACATCAATATTCTCAGGACAGATGTTTCAAGTTCCTTAACTCGCACATCCAAGTGACATCATTCCAGAAACCCTTAAGAATAATAAAAGAATCTTGAGGAAGCACCCAATGACGGTCAGTTCAGGGAAAATCCTCTTTTTAATCCTCTATTGTGCAAACGCAAATTACGGCATTGAAAACGGAAGAGTGAAATTTGAAAGGGTGTCAAATTCCCTGACACATTTTTCCTTGACTTTTTTTTAAATCTTGTTTTCCCCCTGTGTACAAAGCCTGAAACCCTCAGTAAATATGTAGCTTTTTCTATTTTCAACTTCTTAACATTGAATCTAGAACATAAAAGCATTGACCTTCAAGAACTCTCTTAAGTGAAATTAATCATTATTTGGGCAAAATAGAGGTAAAAACTCTGAAATCCTCTCGTGGTTAGCCCGATGCCAAAGGAGCTCTGGTATGTTTCTACCAAAGTATAATTTGCACCAGCACGACAATTGATGCTAACAGGAAGCAAAATAAAGCTTGATTATATGTGTGTTTCATTCAAATGAAGACTTAATTTTCATGAAAAAGTTGCAATTAGTTTTGTCAAACCTATAAGTATGCTTATTATTTTGGATTTAACACCTAATATTTTAAGCGAGTGCACACATTTTAAGGATTGTTGATGACCCTCTTCTTATTTACAATTTAATATATAATAATCCAAAAAATAGAAATCGTAGAGATTTGGTAATCTGTATTACTGATATTAATTAATAGGTACTGTTTCAATATGTACTATATATACTAATATACGTATCCCGATACCGATTAGGAGTACTGTGGAAATAGGTATTTTACAGCCTACTAAATGGAATAAGTACCGTAGAAAAATGTTGACTGTAGTAATCTTTTACTATCAGGAGTTGGTCTGGAGCAATAGAATGATGCCGAATGATTGTGTCTGCGTGTCTCTTTTTAATTTTGTGCATGATTTTGCAATGTTGATCATTACGAATTTATTGATCATTTAATTTTATTTGAAAAAGAAAAACAAGGATTTAGCAAGGCAACAATAATAATAAATTGAAAAAGTTGCCTAAGCACAAGGTACTATTCATTTTCAATGTGACTTTGCTTTGAAAAAAAAATTACATTTTTTACTGTTTGCAATGTGCCTTAAACACAAACTAATGGGAACCAGAAACAAAAAAATTATATGATGAAGCTGTTTAAGGATTATTTTCCATGTCTTCTTTAATTATTGATTCATAAAAAAAAATAATAATAATAAATTTTTTAACAAAAATCCACTTTAATGTAAGGAAGCTGCTGTTTCAAGTTTTTTGTCTTCTCCAATTTTTTTCCTTTCGTTGTCAAGCAAGAGATTTTCTATTGTTGTTTAATGACTACCTATTTGTTACAGAGTCACTTGGTTCTTCCATCCACTGAATACACAAATAAAGTTGCTTAGCCAGTTTTCCCACAGAGTATCTTCGAAATCAATAGATTTATCAATATAAATGAATGTTATATATTTAAATGAAACTAAAATAGGAACTTTTCACAAGCAATCCCAATTCTTTTAAAAATTTCACTTAGCCAGTTTTTCTACTAAGCTCTTCAAATAATGTAAAATGTCAATATGTTTAATTATTAGTTTAAATTGCTGAAGTTTATATGTGCAATTTTATGTTCAGTTTTATAAAATATTACTACTTTAATGGATTGTTATTTCTATTGTTTTTAATACCATTGCTAATTTATTCTTGAATTTTGTAAAATTAAGCAGGTTTTTTTTCTTAGTTCAAAAAATTTATGAAATTTTTACCAATACAAAAATTTTACTTTCTAAAAACCTTTTGAAAAGTTATTAAAGCAGGGAGATTTCAGTATAGTGATCTGAGGCAGAATGATCACCAAGTCTTGGCTATTTCCGGGCAGCGGCCTTCGAAAAACTAAAAAAAGATATCACAGAAAGGGACCATTAGGTAACTCGTAGCAACCCCCGAGCAAGCATCCATATGCTTTCTTTTTTAAAAAAATAGGACGTTTAAAATCTATTTGGCATCTTTGCGATTGTAGTTGCCACGACAGATCACGATACGGAAATATCCCCGGGGGTGGCTACGAGATATACCTTTCACGTTGATCATTTTTAGTTTTTTGAGAGCAGCTGTTTGGAAGTTGGACATGGACTTGGCGATTATTCGGCCACAGATCACAATACGAAAATCTCCCCAAGAAACCGCTGTATTTTTGAGAGAAATTACAAACCAACAAAACTATATTCTTGGGAAATATTAGGCTCTGAGAATCTTCCGCACAATGGGCAATAGCCTGATATCTTGCATAGCCATTGCAAATTTCATAAATTAATAAAGAAGCAAATAAGAGTAAAAATAAAGAAACTAACCAGTAGCAGTAAAATTATTCCATTTCTGGCCGCATTTTTCCTGCCAAGGCATTTTGATATAAATACCATAATAAACAGAAGAAACCAATGCTCCGATAGCTACACTAAGACCCGTGGTTATGGGCTCAATACATGAAGAAAAAGGCAAAAAAACTAAACATAACACAAGGCATATCTTATATGAGGAAACAGACATGTTTATTTTAAAATTTTATTGCTTCGAACACATATGTCATTAATAACATATTCATTTCGTCATTTCTGACATGTTTTAAATTTCAAAATTGATCAATATTGATAACTTTAATATTTGCTAGTGATATTCGAAATTAGTAGGCTTGATCACTAAGAACTCCTTTAAAATAATAAACTTGCTGCTCAAACCGATCAATGAAAAATTTTGATAGCTTAGTCAATCATTGAACCGATTCTTCTGAAAACCGATCGCAAAGAGGAAAGGAATAGATTCTTTTGAGGAACCATTCACACTGCATGATATTCACGCATCTCCTCTAATCAACGTCAAGAAAAATGGAGAAAATCATTAGTGGGTTTTTCTTTTCTTTTTTTTAATAACGTTAGGCACTGAACTTCTCGTTCTTTGCCTTAGAAGATACCTGAAATGTTGCTCATTTATCGTTACCCGGTGGGCACTTGTAAACCAAGGTCACGGAGGCGAGCAACATTACCCACGCTACACTCCCGCAGATACATGTTCATAGTATGGGTCACATCCACACATCAGAAGACAACACAGAGAGAGAGAAACATCCATGCCCAGAGCGGGATTCGAACCCGCAGCCATAGGCTTCGCAGTCAGGCACTCTAACCACTCGGCCATCCTGGCCAGCTATGTGGGTTTTTCATGGGAGAATATGGATGGGTGATCGTGTAAAGCTAAGGGTGGTGGCGCTAGTGGTAAAATTGCTCTTTCAAAACTTCCGGGTTACTGCTTCCGATATNCAATCATTGAACCGATTCTTCTGAAAACCGATCGCAAAGAGGAAATGAATAGATTCTTTTGAGGAACCATTCATACTGCATGATATTCACGCATCTCCTCTAATCAACGTCAAGAAAAATGGAGAACGTCATTAGTGGGTTTTTCTTTTCTTTTTTTTTAATAACGTTAGGCACTGAACTTCTCGTTCTTCGCCTTAGAAGATGCCTAAAATATTGCTCAATTATCGTTACCCGGTGGGCACCTGTAACCAAGGTCACGGAGGCGAGCAACATTACCCGCGCTACACTCCCGCAGATACATGTTCATAGTATGGGTCACATTCACACATCAGAGGACAACACACAGAGAAACATCCATGCCCTGAGTAGGATTCGAACCCGCAGCCATTGGCTTCGCAGTCAGGCACTCTAACCACTCGGCCACCTGGCCAGCTATGTGGGTTTTTCATGGGAGAATATGGATGGGTGATCGTGTAAAGCTAAGGGCTGCAATCTGCTTCTNCTTTCAAGACTTCCGGGTTACTGCTTCCGATATATTTTTACGCCGCAGATTGAAAAAACCCGCCATCATATTCACATGTACCGAGTTCTTTCTTCCAGCCTTTAAACTTCAGCATTATCATATTAATATTATAATCATTGGAATATTTTCTAATTAGGCTAACTTAAAAAGGTATTTTTAAAGATATTTTTGGAGACATTTTATTCAAATGTAGCCAAATAAGGAATAAAATACAAAACATGGCAAACCTTAAGAATTATTCACAATGAGATATTAACTTTCCAAAATTTGTTTTGGCCTTACGACCTCTGAGAACAAAACAAATATAATATAATAAACAAATATACGAATAAAACAATAACAAAACTGCATAGAATATTAGGCTTGTTCACACATCGCCTCGTAGTCATAACATAAGCGGAGGGATACACCGGAAATTTTCTAAATTTCTTCCGGTTTAAGGACGCTTGTTATTGTTTACATTAGACCACCCATCCATATTTTAGCAATCAAACTCTCGAATACGCCATCTGGGAAGAAGACCGGTTCCATGTTTTTGGCCTTCTCCTCCTCTTTTCAATTGTATGGATGGTGTTTTCTACACTAGGGAACGCTGCAAGCTTGGTACCGCCTTAATTTCCGGGTTACTGTTTCCGTTGTATTTTAAACCCATTTGGCATCATTGCGTTTTGAGATTCTTGCAAACAATGTATTTGATTACTTATTACTTGTGTTTACAATGCTAAAAATCTTAACACTAACGTAAGATGGTGCACAGCTTGCAACAAGAACAAACAGAAATAAACTTATGGAAGAGGCCATATCAAGACTGCCAAAAAAGCGAGTTATTCAAAATCTAGCAACCATGTCACCATTTTAACAATATATCTCTAAAAAACTAAAACAAATTTTCACTTCAAACTCACCAGAATTACATATTAACATTAATATCTTATGAAATATGGGTAATTGTGATGGCATGTCTTCGGATCATCCTCCGGGATGTTTCCCAGACCGTCGCCAATAGCCCATTGTGCAGCTCTAGTGCGACGTAAATTAACAACAACAACAACAATGAAATATGGCAGATTTGAGCTCAGAAATTATCTAATTTATTTCCTTTATTAAAAACAAAATTATCCGTTTGAAAATATCGCCTATCAGAATATTATGTAGTAAGCAGCTGCAACCGTTTTAACCGGAACTAGAGTAGGTGCCAAGCTCGAGATTATTATTGTCCCCCTTTCTTAATTCGCGATCGCAACACTCGAATACGCCATCTGGGGAGAGACCGGTTTCATGCTATTAGCCCTTCTCCCTTCCCTCTCCTCCTCTTTTCAGTTGTATAGGAATGTACTACGATATTTTCCCTTTTCTTAATATTTTTCTTTTTATTTGATAAAAATATTTTTTAAAATTTCCATGATACTTTTCTTTAGAACTATGTTTAATGTAGTTTTCAGTTCCATATAGTTTTTCAAGTTAAAAGATATTAATCTATATGAAAATCAAGAGAGAAACTAACGTACTTCCTTCCTCTATGACTGTCCACACGCTAATGGGGAAAGCATGTGAAGTGTCGCCATAGAAAAAGAGTTCTGCTCTACGCCACCTGCAGCCCATTTCGATCGCCAATATTTTTCGTATATAATTGTCCCAAATATTTTTTTAAATTTTCAAAATGCTTTCTTTTAGAGCTACGTTCTATGTAGCTTTCAGTTCCGTATAGTTTTCTAACTTGAAAGGTTTTAACGCATTAGAAAATCAGGAGAGAAACTGACGTACTTCCTTCACCTATGACTCTCCCCATGCTAATGGTGAAAGCATATGAAGTGTTGCCATAGGTAAAGAATTCTGTTCTACGCCACCTATAGCCCATTTCGATCGCCAATTCTCATTTTCCTTCATTCAGGTAGCCCATTGTGCAGCTCTAGTGCGATGTAAAGTAACAACAATAACAACAACCTTTATTCAGGAGAAGGAAGCATGTTAGTTTCTGTCTTGAATTTCGAATAGATTAAACTTTTTAATCTAGGAACTGAAAACTACATTAAACATAGTTCTAAAAAAAAGTTCTTGAAATTTTAAAAACTATTTTTTAGAAACTATTAAGGAAGGGGAAAATATCATTCTACATTCCTATACAATTGAGAAGAGAAGGAGAGGAAAGGGTCAAGACATGGTACCGGCCTTCTTCCCAGATGGCGTATACGAGTGTTGCGATCGCGAATAGTCTTCAGTTGTAACTAGGACTGGGCGATGTAAAAATTTTATATCGGGATATCTCGTCTGTTAGATATCGCGATACAGCGATTTAACATATATGTTTGAAAATTATAAATCAGAAATCTTTAAATCAATCAAAAATAAATAAAAGGAATAAATCTATAACAAAAGAATATGTTAATTCCAAAAAAATACTTCTGTAACATTAATAGCGTTGCTTAATTTTTTCAATTAAAATAATGAAAATGGATTTACTTAAGATCGATGTCTTAAAGTAAAATAATACTCAAGCTTTATTTTAATTTCTTTTTAAAATTAAAAATGACTTAAGATATTTCGGTTTGAAAATAATAATAAAACCAACAAAATATTTTACTGCATTAAAAATAGAAAAAGAACTAACAAAATATTTTGCATACATGTATTAAAAATAGAAAAAAAAATAAAAACGAAAAAAAAAACGAAGAAATTTTCACTTAAATGAAACATTTTTTAAATTATATGTTGAAAAAAACGTACGTTTTTTTCCATTATGCTTTTGAAACATTATTATACCTTCTTTTATTTATTTATTTAAAATAAAGTTGAATTGACTAATGGTCAAATGGTTTAAATAAACGCATGTTTTATTTATTTATGTATGTTTTATTATTATTGTCTTTCTTGAAAATAAAATCTACTAAAGATTTATTGGTTTAAAAATAATACTTATTATCTAAAAAAATATCAAATGGACACGTATTAAAATAATTTTAAGAAAAATTTTAAAAAATAGTTAAAAGCTCTATTGTTTATTGGCGATCGAAATGGGCTGCAGGTGGCGTAGAGCAGAACTCTTTTCCTATGGCAACACTTCACATGCTTTCACCATTAGCGTGTGGAAAGTCATAGAGGAAGGAAGTACGTTAGTTTCTCTCTCGATTTTCATATAGATTAAAATCTTTTAAGTTGAAAAACTATATGGAGCTGAAAACTACATTAAGCATAGTTCTAATGAAAACTATCACGGAAATTTTAAAAAATATTTTTATTAAATAAAAAGGAAAAATATTAAGAAAAGGGAAAATAGCGCAGTACGTTCCTATACAACTGAAAAAGAGGAGGAGAGGGAAGGGAGAAGGGCTAAAAACATGAAACCGGTCTCTCCCCAGATGGCGTATTCGAGTGTTGCGATCGCCAATTGAAAACTGTCAAAACAATGCTTAGCTTTTAAAAAATAAAAATTTAGTCGTTTTAACTAGAAGCCAATTTTTTTTTATAAAAAATAATGCAAACTGTGTTTCAATTTCTTTTATAATTAAAAGCGACTGAAGATTTATTAATTCAAAACGAATCAAATTATTATAATGACGTGCATTAACAGTGGAAAGACTGAAACTTGGTATATACCTGCCCAAAAGCAGTCAAAATGACTGGATTGTGAAAAAATAACTATTATGTAAAGAAATTTGTTTAAAATTAATTGTTACATTATTTACAGTTATATAACAAGTTATTAGTAAATATTAACAATAAAAAAAATTCTATTTTGTAGAATAAGTCATAAAATTCTAAAAAATTGTGTCATTATATACATCATTGTTTTCCTAATTGAAATTAAAAAGCAGTCAAAATGACTTCCTTGGGCAATCTAGTGTTAAATAAATTTAAAAATAAAACTAACTTTTTGTAACAAAGTATAAATTACTTAAATACAAATTACCCATATAAAATTGTATGGCTTAAAATGAAAAACAATAATTAAAAAATCAATGCAGAATCTTTTTTTTATTCACAATTTCTTTTCATTAATAGATTGAGTTCAGAACGAAAATTTAAGATAACAGGGATTGAGCAGAAATCGCCAAGTAGCAGTAGATCTACTAAAAATAATTGATAAGAAACGTTAAATCCCGAGAGACAAAAGAAAGTGACGAAATAATGCACAACGATCACTAAATATAATAAGTTTCACTGAAAATAATTTACAAGAAACGTTAAATTCCGACGAAATAAAAAGCACAGCGATCGCAAAATAACTTATGCTGAAACGGAAAACCCCAAAGACAAAAATGGCGCATAAAGAAACAAACCATTGCGTTCTATATTTCAAAACTGGTCCTCGTGCGAAACCGAGAGTTCTGATTCAATTCGCTCTTCATCATTCAACATCACGAAACGAACAGTCTTCGAAGCTAGACGAAATCAAAATAGTCTTCGTTAATGTGGTGACAGCGTTAGCGTAGGCAATGATCCTTGCATGTTAAATCGATAAACCGCGAGCTTCGTCTTATATCGGAGGCCTAAATTAGATTTCTGATGCATCGCCAAAATCGAAAGTCACTATATCTGCGTGTTGATATGTGCGTTAAATCGATATTCCGCAATACATCGCTTTATTACCCAGTCCTACTTGTAACAGACTACAATACTGATGAATACATAAAGCAAACTTTCAAAATATATTAATTCACAAATAACAAAATCCTTTTAGACAGGGTTGCTAACTTTCGACGCTTTCTTGGAAAATTTTGAGTGGAGCTAAGTTTATGTTTTATTGTATGATTCTTTGTTTTATAAATTTGATTTAATATTTTCTACAGCACTATGAAAGATAATTCAAAAGCGCATATGAAACACCATTTTTCTCCAGCTATTTCGTGGTGAGGGTTTTAAAATTTTGAAAAAAATAAACAAAAATTATGAAATGTTTAGTTTTTAATTAACTACTCAATAAAATATTTTGCAAAAAGCTCCTTTTACAGACACAAAAACATTAAGAAAAAATAGCGACTCAGATTTGTTACTTTTCTCCTCTGTATCCAGTAATATAAGTAAAAAATCAAATATTCACAATTGGACAAGACTTTATTATATTTTCTCAGGCAAATATATACATATATAAACAGCAATGCTTGCATACATATATGACTCAAAACATGGCACACACGTGACAAATGAAAAATACATTTTACTATGAATACAGCTGTGGTACAATATATACAGTGACAAAACGAAGGAAATTTTTCACAAAAAATATGTTTAAATAATATTACTTGCTGCAGGGTGTAAATTTAATTGTTATCTTGAAGATGTTTAGTATCAGAGATTCAAACAGTTATCACAGAATGTATTTATAATGAAGTTGTGAATAATTTTATTGTGTTAGTTTTATTTCAAATAATTAAATATTAATTCAGCATAATGAGTAACATTTCACAATATAAATCAATGAAAACAATTGTAATATAAAAGTGTGGAAGTATTTAAGTTATGAGTTTTTAAGAACAAAAAATCCAACTTATTTTTTTTCCAGATAAATAACAGTAATAATCTACTGGCACTCATCAATTGGCTGTAAATTATCTGAACACACAGACTAGCCTACATTTATTTTTAATCTGTATTTCATACAAGAATATAACTAAGCAAACCTAACAGTCCAATATAATAATACATTATGGGTAGTTAGAAGAAGGTGTCTAAATAGTACATATGCTTATAGAATACTTCTAGTTTTTAAATATTTTTAACAAAAAAAAAAAAACATTTCAAAAGAGGAAAACTTGAAAATAAATTTTAGTTTCCATCCAAGAATTAATTTTTAAACAAAATTTGTGACAAATAATAATCACATACATAAAATAATTTTTGTAATCACACACATTTGTTAAAAATGTGCTAAAATCAGCGTCAGCCTTTTGACTCTTTCAGATTATGTCTCCTTAAATTTCTTTTTAACAATAAACAATAACATTGAGCCTCAGTATAAACAAACAAAATGCATCTCACGTTAGAAAGAATTAACTCAATATAAAATGTATTTTTTTAAGCTCAGTTAACTAAACCCTAGACAATAGTGTAAATAAACTCAAATAATAAAAAAAACGGAACATTGTTCACATGTTTGGATAATCGAAATTTCTAGATTACTAATTATAATATAGTATACCAAACTCAACTTAAATGCTTGCTGTCAAACTCAAAAAGATTTTTTTTTATAAAAAAAATTAATATTAATATTAGAAAGATTTTTTAATTTGGATCAAGACAGGACAAAGAGGAAGTCAAGAACAATAAAATTACTGGAAAAAATCAATTTTTAAAACAAATTACACCATCTTAAAATTTCTTTCACTAATACATTTGAGAATGATTTAAAAGTTGTAATTTTAAGAAAATAACAGTGAAAAAAGATACAAACAAACAATGATGGAATATGTTAGAAAACTTTAAAAAAAAAGAAGTTTTTTTCTCCTTAATTCTTCAATAAATAAGAAAACAAATTATTAAATAAGAAAATTGAATTCTGGTTTCCTTAAACATCATATTACTAAAACATAAATTAGAATAATAGTTGGACACTTTTGAGTTTTAATATGCTATAATTTTTCAAAACATATTTTATTCAAATGATGATATAGATTTAGGAAACTTTAAAAAAAAAATAATAATTAAAAATATAAGTGAGAACTAGACTTTTTTAAAACAATAAATGAGTTCCACATTTCAACTTCATGGGTTTTTTAAACAAAGTGGGTAACAATGGTTCCAGCAAAGGAATTTTTTTTATGGCACTCAGCATTGAAACTTAACAAGTCAAACTTTTACATGTTTTACAAGTTAAATATAACAAAATTACTTTGAATATACTAACCTTTAAACTTTAATATTTTCATAAAAAGCAGCATTTTATAGAAAAACTATCTAAATGTAAGAAAAATATGTATTTTTGTAAATGAAGAAATCATTTACAGAAACAGTAATATTCAGGCACATATCTATCAGATATATATCTTGAATTTCTGTCTATTTTTGCAAATGACATCACATTACAATGCGTTTGTACAAGAAGGTAAAAAATGTCTACAAAATTAAAAAATATCATTTTTAAGGAAAAATAGCTTATAAAAATTATCAATCTTTGCTATTTTATATAAAAGTTACCTTCAGACATAACTTCTGTAAAGTTAGAAGTAACTTTCAAGTAAGCTTCATGTTTTAATATCTCATAAGTTCACCTACAGTTCAAGTTCATATATTCTACATATATGCTTATTTTCATGAACATCAAAGCACATTGTATATACTTAGCATGCAAAAATAGGTAAATAATGCATACTAAATTATAAAAAAAGTGCAGTAACATCACATTCAAGATAAAATAGCTCAGACAAAGGAGTAAATATTACAAACATTATACTTAGATTAGACTTCTATAACCTTACACCAGTAAGATTACTATTGAGCTACCAGCAATTTTTATAAGTATCTAAAAATAAGCTACAAATAAGTAATTCTCAATGACATAATTCAATGAAAAAATATCTTAAATAGATACATTATTTAGCATATATCACTGCTCATCATATTATGTTTGTAGAAAAAAGTATATCATCATTTATATTAAAAAAAGAAAGCTCAGATTAAGAAATATTATCTAAAATATTTATAAAAATTATGTTTAGTTGTCAGACATCTATAAGGTTAGTATCAAAAATACTGTTAGAGGTGTATTACAATGTGACTAATAATGTGTAACTGAGATGATTTAAAACTCCCTTTGATTTTAAAAATCAACTATAAGCAAAATTATTCATATAATGATTAACAAAAACTATGTTTAGCTGTCAGACATCGATAAAATTAGCATCAAAATATACTGTATATAGTGTGACTAATGTGTGTTATAGTGTTCTGTGTGTGTTATAGTGTGACTAATAATGTGTAACTGAAATGATATAAAATTTTCCTTGATGATGAAAATCAATTATGAGCAAATCTATAATATTTCTCTAAGCAAAAAGAAGCATTTTAAGCTCAATTATGACACATTTAATAAATGAAAACAAATATATCTTAATAAATGATAAGGATTTCAATGCGAAGTTGTCAAAGATAAAAAAATGCTAGCAAATGTAAACTGGTATTGAATCTCTTAACAACACACGAATACCAGTTTAAAAAGATAACTTTTCAGTCAATTATGAATAACATATTTTTTTATAGATCATATTTATTAAAGTTAATATTGTTAACCCTCCATAATTTAGATCTCTGAACAAGCTTGTGCAGTTTTCCCTACAATACACAAGATTCTTTTCAAATAGCACAAGGAAAAAGCTATTTGCTATGCAGTGAAAAAGGTGGGTAAAATGGCAAAAAATTCTGAATTCAAATGTATTTGTTTCTTACAAGTTTCCTCGATGAAATAAACATAATTACTTTATTTACACTACTTTTATTTTTAAGAGCAGCTTCAATGTACTAGCTTAGCATTACAAATTGTTTCTTTATTCTTTAGTAACACTAGTTTAGAGGGCTTATTTTTCTTGCATTTTAAACTAATCATATGAAAAACTCAAATTGCTTAAAAAACTAATTTCAGATAAAAACTTAATTTTGAAATCAAATAATGCAGGCAATCAATGATTAATTATTATATAAGTGGCCATTTAAAGTAAATGTTGTAAAAAAATGCTGCATTTTCATTAAATCGCTATCAGGAATTTTGAATTTTTGCTTTATTGAAATATAAATACTAGTAACAATTACAAAAAAAAAATGTGTAAGAAAAAAAAAAGACTACCATTAATAAAATTTATCAATTCCCTAGAAAATATGACATAAGTTATTTATTTTATTTCGTAATACTGGAAAAATTCAAACACAAAAATGATATATATAAAGAAAACTAGTTTAGAAATAATTGAGCATTTAATTTACAAGTCAAATGAAAATTTAAGCTATACATTTACATGATTAAATGCTTTTTTCTTTTTTTTAAAAAAAATATCTGTAACGAAACTTTAACCATCATATCACATTATACTTGAAAAAGATGACTTAATTTTTCATTAAAGTAATTACAAATTGACAGAGAAAAAACTGCTGTAAAAAATATGTATATATTTTATCAAAAATTGGTTTGAATGTGGCACTCGAAAATTTCCTTGATAAATATTCCAATCGGGTCAAGTTTTTGTTGTTTGTTCCTGGGAAATAACTTCATCATATGATGGTGGTGGATCATGATCTTCAGAATTCTGAAAAAATAAGTAAATTCAACATAATTAGCTACTTTTTATAGCACTGAGAATATTGGAATCTATAATATACAATGCATATATAAATTACATTTATTGAAAAACATCAAAATGACATGTTTTTGATGTATACATGTTTTTATTTTGTTAATGACGTGTATACATATTTTTTTTTCTCCAAAAAATTTAAATTTTTTGCATCTGAAAAGTTTAGTTGTACTTTTGTTGAGAATACTAGAATAATATAGATATATTTTTTGAGCTATTTGTCAGAATTTTAAAAGCAAAGATGAAACAAATGTCAAAGGTTTAAAAATTTTTTTAAAACTTTCAACTTATTGGCAGGTTCATAAAATTAATGTTTTATACAAGAACTGATGTTCTTCAACTTTTGGAGAATTCTTATTCATCCAATTTATTTAACTTTTCCTGTTATGAGCTGAATTAAATCAAAAACATAAAATAATTTCTGAATTCATAGGTATAAAAAACAAACAAAAGTTATGCAGCTAAAGAGATAAATGTAAAAAGGAGTAAAATAATGAAATAATGTTCATAAATATATTTTTTTATTAAAAAAAGTAAAAAAAAAATTAGTCAGCAGTAAAACAAAAAATGTAGACTTTTGATTCCTTTTAAATGCACTTAGTTTACCCACAAACAAATTTGTGGATGTTGATTATGGCTTTATAAAACAATTTTGGAATACAACAAGTTTAATTTTTACGATAATCAAATGAAAAGTTTACTCCAACAGCAAGAATTAGCTATACCGCATTAAATTCTATAGGTAAGCTCGAAAATTTGTCCCGTCAACTATGTCTGATTTTTAAAAAAATGGAAAACAGGAAGAAATAGTTACTAGAGTATCTCTTGGTCATGAAAATGTGACCTATGTTTAACTTAAGAAGGCCAACACCTTATGAGGCGTAAAAATCTAGTACACTAACTTCTTTTTCGCATTGCACTTTCTTTTTCAAATAATGCATCAATTCAAGACATTTCTATTATGACTCCCCATAATTAGGGTTTATTAAATCATGAGGATAAGAGTCAGTGACAGTATAATTTTTATAACAAAATATATAGTAGTAAGTTAGAAATTATATAAATCTTACATTAAAAAAAAACATTCACACTTATGGTACGAAAAGCAAAGTTTAAATTAAAAACATATAATCAGTGTGATTTAAAAAATAAACTAATTCATTGTTAGTCATTACTAATGTATGATATTACATAATAGAGTCAAAGTAGAATAGATACAGCATTGAAAATATAATGTAAAACATTTACCACAATAAGTCTTATATGAAAAACATTAAGCTCCAAGATATATAGCGTCATTATTTATTAATTTAGAAAAGCAAGTTGATGTTTCAACAAATTATTATAAAAAACATATTCAATTTATGTTTATTCATTTGTTTCTCTTGTTAAAAAGTTTTATAATCAGAATTAATTTAGAAGAACAATATTAAAATACTAACCACTTGTAATAGTTACAACTATGATCAATTACAATATTTACATTTTTAATTCCTAAGTATTGTATTGAGCAACTGTTCAATATGTTAATAAGTATCAGTATTTGTATGTTTATAAGTTTTTTTATTTTACCAGGAACCTTTAAATAGAGTAAGACAAAAACATGCATCTTCTGCGTTCTCTCTCATTCCATTAAAATGAAATGATTTTATTTTCTTATTATAATTTTTAAACTGTTTATACATGCATGCAGGGTACCCTAAAAGTCATCGTATATACGTAAGAGGGTGGAAGAGAACAAGTAGATAGTCACAAATCAGCATAAAATCCATGGTCGTAACACAAACCGTAAAGCTCAAGAGCATGAAACATGCTGTGTTACAAAATGATGGGAAACAAGATGCATAGAGGAATGAAATGAAACCAATAAATGAAGAAAAACATTTCATTCAACTAAATGAAATTAAACAACACTAAGTCCACCATCACAGAAACTGCACAAAATTGCAGGCACCAACATTAATGCAGGCGAAACAACAGAGATCTCTTTTAGGATGTCAGGAGCTACGGATATCTGGGCAACAAAGGCTTCTGCAGATTTATGGGACCGTTGTTGTGGACGAGGTTTTTCATATAATCCCAGACAAAAAAAAGGGCAGACATGACAAATTGGGCGAGCAGGTCGGCCAATTGATTGGACCATCACAACCTATCCATTGACCCAGATACATGATATCTAAAGTGTTATGCACATCCACGATGTCATGGAATGTTGCTCCATGGTGTTGGAATCACGTGTGATGTGTGCTGAAACACGGTTTAATAGTTTGGGCAACACTTCTTAAAAAATCACAAGGTATGGATCTCTATTCAGGCATGCTGGTAGTAGAAATGTCATTATCAGATAATTGTGCACAATGTCTTCACATCAGAGGCACATATTATAGAAAAATGCTCGCTGTGCAATCTTTCAGCTTCCCTTGAATTGCTATTGGCAGCTTTGCGCATGTAATGCATCTCGGCTTTCTCCTGACTTGAATATGGATTCCTAGCATCAGTGATCCACAGAGCGAATGAAGACAGCAGCTAAGAACAGCCTGATAATGGCAGTCACTGGTTGGTGCTTTCTAGCGCTTTATAACTTGAGTTTAGACTATGAATTGTGCTTGTCTAGTTGTGTTCTCTCACAACTACCATGAGTTTTGAGTACCATGAATTTTGAGACACCCTGTATGTATAAATTTTGATTGACAGTGTAGAATTTTTAAGGACGGTATTTGCTCTATGAATTTTTTTTGTTTAATACTAGAATTTAGAGCAACTTTCTCTTTCATAACTATTTATAAGATTAGGTGCAATGAACTAAATGGGTTGGTATTATTGCATTAACCATCAAAAAAATCTTAATTTTTGATGTAGCTTGCATAATTTTTGTTCATAATTTCAAATTTCTTTCTTTCCAGTACCTTTTTCACCCATATGAATTTGGTAAAATATTGGGCTTACAGTAAAATTTGCAATAGGAGCCGACAGAAAAAGGTGTTGAAAAAGTTTAATGCCTTATGCTTTGATATTTTCCATACTTATATAGTGCAATAGCAGAAAGCTAGCACAAAGTTTTTGAAAAGCACAAAGTTTTAAAGTTAAGTAATTGCGCTAAGTTTTTGATAATTTAAATATATTATCTTGAGTTTGGAACATGTTTTTTTTTTTTTTTAAATAAATTTAAACTTTGCATGCATCCCAGACAGCTAAAAACAAGTTAATAAATTTTAGATGCAATTCTGTTGTTAGAAATAGTAAAATAAATGGGACACAAAACTCTATAACATTAATTCAAATGTACAAAGAGTACTACATTCATTAAAAGTATTTTACTTTTAAAACCGTATCATAATTAGGCAAAGCTTCGTCCAAATGAGGTGCACTTGGCAGTGGTCTTTGACTATCCCTACTTGTAGGTAGATACTGAGAACGTGATGTCACATTACTTCTACCAAATATACCAGGGTATAAATTTTGCCTGAAATACAAAAAGATAGTTAACATTACGAAACATTTAAGTGAAAAAAATTAATACATTTTTGAAATGCACTATTTCCCTAAATTTTTAATACAATAATTATTTTCTTATAAAAGAAAAACTTACAAAACTACAGCATTATTAGTGTTAAAAATCTTGACACAGTCTTTTAAATAAGTTAAAAACTTAAAGTAGTAAGAAGTAACATAAACACAGAGCACAAGAACATAGTGTTTCAAAATTTATTTCACCATACAATACAATAATATCTAAGTTTAATATCCAATTCTTGAACAAAAAAGGTAATAATTTCTGAAAAATCATAATATAAGATCATTATTTTTTATGAGAAAAATAGGTTTTTAAATTGCTAATTTGCAGAAGCGCTTCAATATAATTTAAACTTGCAGTTTTGATGCATAAAATTGCCTAGATAACATATAACTTCAACTTCATAATTCAAAACTATTTGAATTATTATTTCATACAAAACTATTTTAACCATATGTATGTAATAATAAAAATAATTATTAATCTTAATTAATATTTTTTTTGATAAATAAGTTTTATTATTATGCAATCAGTGAAAATAATATCAACATAAAATGCAATTGATTTATTTAATAAAAAGTTTAAATAGTGAATTTTTCAGATTTTGATTAAAATATTTTTACAAAAGAATTAAAAATAGCAAGGCATAAATTGGAAATTTTGGTTTCTAGATGGTGAAGCAAATTGTATTCTAAAATATCATTCTACAATGTCTGTTTTTCACACAATGTGTCAATTTATATGCCCTGATGTAATATAACAAATTTAATGAAAACACTTTCTAACTTTTTAACACTTAGCAATTAAATTTTGCAGGCTTTCTTTAGTACTTACTATAAATTTTACAGGAAAAAAAGGCAACTTCAATGTGTTATTTCTCCTATAACAGTTTATATATGTAAATTTGAAACACTTTCTGGTTCAGATATAATTGTATAAACAGAGATTATTTTATTTCACCCTAAACATCTAATCTTCAATTTTTTTATATCTTAAAACTTAATATTCAGTAAAATCCTCAAACATGGATGGATTTAAAGATATAATTACATCATTAATAAACACCATTTTTGCATTATGAAAAAAAGAACTATATCAGACGCATTGTTTGATAAAATAAAGAATTATTGAAAGTAATTACCTTTTACAAACTTGCCAAATAACTAAGCAGAAACAAAATATACTAGCAAAGGCAAAAGTAACCCCTATTACTGTAGGAAAAACTCTATTTGTTGGCTTTGGAGGCTCTCCACCAACTAGAATAAAAAGAAAAGAATAAAAATATGAAACAAATAATTGAAATTTCCATCATAAATTATGCAGGGGTGATTGTGAGTCAAAGTAAAAATTCCGGAAAATTTCTTGAGTAAGAAAAAAAAAATCTGTTTAAATTGAAAAAAAATTTAAACAAGGTTTTTTTCCCTTCTTCTCAATATTTCTAGTCTTACTTAAAATACATTTAAAATTTTACACATACCTATACCATTTACACATACCTATGATGACCTGGAGAAGTAATTAAAATTTATAAATACGTCTTTCTTTCTTGAGTTTATGATTATAATAATTATTTACTGATAAAAAATGAATATTAATCCTGAATATAAGCTTATAAAGTATCTGGCTCTCCCTTACAAACAAATAAAGTAAACTGTGCTTTTAAGTTTCTGTGCCCATGATCCACATACCACAGAGGATATTTTACGTTAGCACTGTGGTCGGTGCAAGTCAGGATCAGAATTTGTATCAACCAGTCATCACTGAGATTTGAAACTAATTGAAGGAGATAAATTTTAATTTAAAGAAAACCAATAAAACAAATCAGGGATAAATAAAATTATACTAAGATAATTCAAAAGGATCATCTTCAAGAAAACGGTAAGATAAGCATAGATTCATTGAATTAAAATTATTTAGAGTTTTTATCTGAAAATATTTTTCAAAACAATTCTTATCGAAACATGAAAAATATTTATTACTTATTTCACATTACTTTTTTTGTATCTTTCTAGTTTTCTTAAGAAAAATTATTGTTTTTAGTATGGAGACTGAACAAATTCATTCTCATGCTCATAAAAACAACAAAATATTAGTTTTTGTTTAGTAATTAAATTAAGCATTCAGTCAATAATTTTATGTAAAATGAGGTATTTGGCAATCTATTCTTTTATACAAATTCTAATATATTCACAAATAATCATCATCAAACAAAAACTATTTGAATGCAATATTTGCAAGGAAACATATCTGTGAAATTTTCAAAAAATTTAACTTTTTATAATTATAAAATTTAACAGTTCATACTTTTGAGAACATTTACTCAAAAATAGAAATTCATTCAAAGTTAAAAAAAAAAAAAAATAGTCAAGAGGAAGGGCATTTTGCACCAACAAGCATATGAACAGAATATGATATCATAAATTTTAAATGGTGCGGTCTTAAAACAATAGAATTCAAACTAGTGAGTAGACAATCCACCCAATAAATGTTTGGATACTTTTTGTTTAGAATGCCATGATTTTGATTAAAAAGCATTTAATAAAAAATTCTACATGCAACAAAAATTACTTCAATGCAAGAAAATTACTTTGAAAATTACTTTTTGCAAGTATATGCAACAAAAATTAAGTTTTCAGATGTCTTCAATGATAAGTTTTAAATTCTTTATCATAAGTCAACTTAATTTAGCATAGCGTATTTATTAGCTATGTAACCTGTAAAACGCAACTCTTTCAATACACATTAAAAAAAGCTTTATTTATCATTTTCAACTCTAAAAGGTATTATTTGTGATAAAAAAATGTAGCAGTAGTTATTTTAAAAAAAATACACGTAAGTATAACAAATATTTACTTACTTTTCTCACATGCCTTGTCGCCTTCATTATATATAAACCCTGCATGGCATTCACATGTGCTTCGATATGGCAATTGTGAACAATAGGAATTACGGTCATAATATGAACATTCTTCTGAATAATCACATTTCTCACTATATTGTTTACCTATAATTAAAAGTTTAATGTAATTCACAAGAAAAAAGTAAAAATGAAATGTATAGTTTAATTCTGCGAGTAAGAGGAGCAATGAATGACAACGTGACCGAATAAGAAGCAAAATATTTATTTTTAAAATTAAAATAGTATCATTTACAACTTTTTGGAAATTTAACTGGTTGCTTATTACATTGTCAAGATAAATAAACAATAAATTCAATAAAAATTGATATAAAATGAAATGACATTAAAAAGTTACATTCATAAAAATTCAAATCACTTCAATGCTCAAAACATGTTGCAAATTTGTTTTTAGTCATTCAAAATATTCTATCATGTTTTGTAATTGAGCAAAAAGGTAACATATTTGATTTAAATCACCAACAACCTAAATTTACAAACATGGGTAAGGTCAATCAGATGATCAAAATGTTAAAATTAATATTTTTATGCAAATAAAGTGTCATTTTAAAAGGTAAAAAGCAGAAAATTTATAAATAATAACCTTTAACTTATTAATATCAGTTTTCAATGAGCTATAAGGCCATAAAATGAAGAGCTACATCATTTGAAATGTTTAACCATTGTGAGTGAATCTCTAGCAAATACAGTTTTTTGTTGAAAACTTCACAGCAATAATAAAAAATGTTAAAAATTTTTTAATAAAGTAAACTGGATCAACACAGGTTATCGTACACAAATGTGTAGAAATGTGCACATTGTAATTAAAAAAAAAATCCAAAGATGCACTTTTGATAGTTCATGTTCGACAACAATATTTATTATTAATTGTTAATTATTTTATTTTTTTTTTTCGTTGAAAGATTCCATGCCTCATTTGTATAATCTATTTTAATTTTAAAAATAATGAATACTTTTAATATAAATTTTAATAATTAATTATTTTTATGTCAGATACCATTGTTTTTCTTTTCAATACTTTTCATTTATTTTTATCCCATATTTTGCTGTTTCTCTATCAATTGATATGAAATATGAATAAACCCTTCTAAATATTCTTTTGCATTTATTTAGAATAATATATTTCTCCTTAGTAAAATGAAATCTGCTTAGCTGTACAATACTTAAATAGTATTTATATGAACTTAAAACTGATTTTGCTTAGAACAGCCAAAAAAAGGCATGTAATTGTAACAAAACTGTTTTTTGATTTGGAATACTTTACAGACTTTTTTTTGTATTTGTTTCTAAAGGTGAGCAATTCAGGTTTGCATTCAGAAACCATTCTTAAGTTTAAGCACATGTTTATACTTAGGTAAGTAAGAATGCTTGCTAACTACTTATCGTACGCATTCAGATGTAAGTACTAGACCTTGTTATGACAAGTAAAAGATATAAATAGATTAATATCGTCAGCTTTGATTTACAAAATACAGTAGGGAACCGATTACCCGGAACGATCGGGACCATCGATATTCGGGATAGCTGATTTTTCCGGTTTTCTCAATCGCCACAAAAAGTCGTTTTTTTTATAGTTAAACCCAACTAAAAAACATTTTTTTAAAAATAATCTTAAAAAGAAGAAAAAACGATGAAGTAATACACTAATGATTATTTCCAAAATGATGGTAAGGTAAACATCTTTCAAAAAAGAACGAAAAATCCTAAAATCTTATGAGGAAAATTTTTTTTAAAATGGCGGGAAAACTAATCGAATTTCATTCCTTTTTTTTGGTTTTCCGGTTTTCTGATTTCCGGATAACGGGTTCTGTACTGTACAATACTTATAAAAACTGTATCAAACAAATATTTAATTTTATGAAAATAAAGCAATAAAATTATCAATTTCCAATCTGAAGTGAGAAGATCTTTTTTGGAGAAAATTTTTCAAAGATAGTTAATATAAATTTTTTCTTCTTCTTCATTTTATAAAACAGTAACATATTTTTGAATAGATTTTTTTATTGTATAGTTAAAAATTACAAAGCTGCAGTTATTTTGGACAATTTTTTCCTAAATTAAAAATTAAAGTTTTCAGACTTACAATTGTTATCATTAACTTAAATTTATATCCAACCTGAAAATTTACGTGTAACACCAAAAAGTTAAATTCTGGCACCGAAGTAAAATTTTTTAAATGAACTATAGATTATTTTTACAAGTTTAGAACTGCCTAGAATGCTTCATTATAATGATAGCTTCTAAAATCAGCTAAGTTTACATTTGAATTACAAATAAATTCACAGAGTATTGATAATTGTAAATGAATGTGATTTACGTCTGACATCAACAATTTAATCTGTTTAATTTCAACTTACTATGATCAGTTTTTATAAAACAAATGGTTTTTTGATTGATCACAGCATACTAAGTAATTGATATAAAAATCTGATCATTGTAAACTTAACTTAATTTTTTATGTTTGACACTATGGAATTGCCCATATGTGAAAGTTATTTTTGAGATAAATGCATTTAAAAAGCAGGGAGCAATTGACAAAAAGGTTAAAAAATAAAGTTAAAATTGTTAAATTTGCAAATGGTTTCTTTGTGTGATGTCAATGATATATTTCTACAAATCAAGGAAGATTTAGCATTTTTTCGTTAAAAATATTTGTATAAACAATAACTTTTTTTTAAACAGATTAAAAAAAACCCTTCTATTTTTAAGTGATTCATTTAAAATTAGCAAATCCCTTGATACATGAACATGAATTCAACCATAGTTTCTTAATAGTGTAAAGTACAAGATTATTATTTTTTTTTCTTCAAAAACCTGCAAAATCTACAGATTTATGATACACAAACATCTAACAATGAATTATAAAAACAATTATGAGAAGCTAACATAATATGAAAATTCTTTAGCAGTTCATAATGGAGTTATAATTAATATAATATGAGAGTAGTAGTTATATGTCATGAAAAATGAACATTTGATAAAACTCTCTATCTTTAAGATATAAAAACCAAGAATCATGAAAAAAAAAACAATGAGAATTCAAGATTTGTAAAGTTTGCAGTTATATTACACAAAGCAGTAGCTGAACTTCAGAGGAAACAAGTATTGTTAAAAATTCTCCATTTTTATTATGCTAAAAGAGAAATAATGAGAATCTCGATTTTTAAATTCTTTTGAAGTTAAATCACACAAATCGAACAGTAGTTAAATGACATGAAAAACATGTATTGTATATTAGTCCTTATCTTTAATACATGAAATCTATATGAGTGGTAGAATAGTATTTTTCCTTGTAAAAAGAATATTTAACATACCTTTTTTACATGAATGCACAGATATATTCACAGGAAAATCTGGTTTACATCTGCAGATATTTTCTTCATCACAATAGGAATTGCTAGCTAGGCATATTCTAAATATTTTATTACAAGGCTGCCCAACATGATTTCGACCTAAATGAAAATTAATATTCACATTATAAAATACTCTGGCTATGTTAATATGATTTTAGACCTATATGAAAATGTTTAATATAGATTTCACAAAATCAGATACTTTGACTAAATAAGTGTCATTGTAGTGGAAAAGATGTTTATAACTGATGCCTTATAAACCAAATTCTAATTATGATCAGTTTCAAATTCTATAATCTAAAATTCTAATTAATCATCTTATATGTACAACAAACTTAAAAAATTAGCTAAGAATAATCATTATATTTTATAATAATACTCTACAAGGTTTGATCTAGATGAGAAAAAATAGGAGAACATGGCAAAAAATTATATTTAACACAGATAAGGAAAGGTTAATTGATATTACATTAAGAGAATGTAACGAATATAATACAAATGTTTTGATACAAAATACTAGTTAGCGAAATTGAATTTTGCAACTTGTCATGCCTGTACATGACTAATAGTTGTGGACATGACTAATTTAAAAATTCCTTAATAATTATTTAATATTTTTTTTAAAAATCATTCATAATAATACAATGCAAATAGTCGAAGGAAATAAAATTTTTAAGAAAATATATCTTTTAACTGCTTTGATTTAATAAAACTTGAAAATAAAATCATTAAGAAGTAAACATGTTCTCTTAAAAGTATCCCATATTTAAAAACTAAATGTAAAAATGACGTTTTTTCTATCACTAATTTTGCAAATACATTATATCTCCTAAAATATCATGTTTAATTACAAATATTAAATGCTGCAATTGCATAAATTTTTTTTCTCGCTTTGTCATATCCGCAACTTTTAAACTCAATTTTAGCATTTTATGCGATTTAAAGAAAGTGTATCATGTTTTTTAAAAAAAAACTAATTTAATATTTATAAAATACAGTCAATGACTTTTAATTTGATATATGGTTAGTTAAATTTATCGAATAAATTTTTTTTTTAGCATGCCGGGCTACAAATAGTGTGGAATTATCCATTAGCTTTGAAATAATAAAAGTTTTAAAAAAGGCAAGGGGTATAAATTTAAATATTGTATTCCAATGACTGTTTCCCATTGTGAAATTATTAAAATTCTTATGCAAAATTATAGTCAGTTCTTACACATTATTATAACCTTAATGCAAAAAGATGATTACAAATATCATTTTTAGAAGCTTATATTAAATCTAAAAGACAGTGCAAAAAAAGAATAAAAATATAACACTACGAATTCGAACTAAAGTGAAAGTATCTTAATGTTTGTCATGAAAAAAGAAAAAAAAAAAAACTGTAATGGAATCTCGTTATTGAAATCAAACATAGGCATAATAATTTTTGTTTGACGGTAATAAAACTCCTTAAATATTTCAACGAGACTTCGAACTGTTTGTTTGTAAATATATTAGAGATAAAACATATGCATATATTTTATTTCTATATATTCATAATAATAAACAGTTCAAATAACAGATAAAATATATGCATATATAACAAACAGTTCACGCATAAATGACACGACGAAATTTAAAGAAAAAAAAACCCTCACGAAATGGGAAAAATAAATAATTTGAGATTGAGTATATAAATGATCAGCAACGATTTACATTACCTTGATTTAATTGTAAGTTCATTAATGATTATTGCAAAATATAAATAAATGTATAATAATTCGGAAAATGATAAAATTAATGCTGCAAGAAAATCATAAAATTCGAAACATTTCCCTCGTATAAACTTTTTACTACGCCCGATATCAACAGTTGCGACACTGTTTTATTTTTTGTCTTCACAACGTTGTTTACATACTACAAGGAAAAATAAATATTAAATTTAAACAAGAAAAACAGTAACTAACTACGAATACCTAAGCATTATGGTTAACTATAATTATTTAAATAATTACCTTCTGATATGAGATTTAGAAATAAGAGCAGTAACAGTAGGACACTTGTAAACATTGCAGACAAACATAAACAAACTAGTATCCATTACTACAAAGAAGAAACTTATTACTTCTGCTTTTGACTTGTTGCCAAAATCATAATAGAAAGTTTTGAATAAATGGCTTCCTATAAATAATGTAGGGCAATGGCAAATTTCAAAGAAAAGAAATTTGGTTAGACTGGTTGGGCTTCAGAGGAAAGGGTTCCTACACGTACATAAGTTTCATATACATAACTTTTCTATACATACTTACATTCCATATCATTCCATTCCAATGATTGAGGTCCCGCAGTGGACTGATCGTTAAGACACGGTTCCCAGCAGATCACCGAAGTCAAGCATCACTGGCTATGGTCAGTGTGCGGGTGGGTGACCATTACGTAGGGTCTGCGTAGGGACCGAGGGTGTGCGGTATTGGTCCTCGTTAAACTGTGCTGCCGTAAAGTGCTCGACTTCGGGCGCAGGTCGTCGGGCTACCGATGCGGGGGTGCTATCCCCTCCGCAGAGGATCAAAATTGTGATGGCATGTCTTCGGATCATCCTCCTGGATGTTTCCCAGACCGTGGCCAATAGCCCATTGTGCAGCTCTAGTGCGACGTAAATTAACAACAACAACAACCAATGATAGAGACCTTGACCATTCACACTGAGTGCAAAAAAATCCCTTAAGCGAATTTGGAGATGCGAGCGCGAACCTGATTAGTGAGTTTTTCGCCGGAAAATATATTTCGCCAATCAGATTTTTGCACGCATAAGCCTTTTCCCCCTCGTAATTATGTGAATGTTCCTTAATATCCAGTTTTTGGTAAATCAATCTGTGTATGTGAATCAGATTTAATAGTTTGTTTGATGGAAGTCACTGTCGTTGTGATAACTAGTTGGTTCGCGTATCGACTGCATTTCTTAAGAGTCACTGTCACGTACACATGCATGTACGAATAGCATAATAAACTATTTTATCATATACATATCTATGAGCAGATAGGATACAAAGAGATTGCCTTTATAGCGTGATTACATGTTAAAATGATGGACCCAGTGTCGTCTTGAACATTGCACATGCAGCTGTGTGCATTAGCATGCACAGAGGTGTGCACACCACTGTGTAATCAAACATATAAGAATTCACTTCCCATATGACTCACTTCCTTCGTTTTTCCTCAAAGTGCAGTTAGCATTATGGAGCATTCTCACTGGATGTGACTTGCATTTACGATCGCCCGCCAATTCCATTCGCGCAAGAGCGAGCAGTTCTTCTTACATGAAATTTCTAATCATGTACACGAGTGTCTGGGGCAATCATCTGTATTATGAATGCTAATATGATCGTTTATCGTTCATCCATTGATGATACGTGAGTACAGCATTGGAATGCACGTGTCATTAGCAATTATATGCACCATAGCTTTGCAAGATGACACAATCACACGTCTTTATCCATTTGACTCATTAGATTGCAACAACGCATCACACGTTTATGATTAACGAGCCCTTTTTTTAAAACAGAAAACCATATATTCCGAGTTGTTTTGTGATGGTCTTAATGACAATGTGAATAACGGTTTTTGACTTTCATTCCTTTAATTTTGAAAGGAAAAGCTACTAAGGCTTTTGAGGGTAAATGTTAGTGATCTCATTAGTTAAGAAAATCCTGTGGTCTTTCTGTAGTCAACTACGACTATTTAATTACAAATGAATATTTTTCATCGAGTTTGCATTGAAGAAAGACTTTAGGCCCTCAAAACCTCTCCCAGATACTGGGCAAACAAACCTCTCTGCACCAAATGCGAAAAAGATCAAAGTAAAAAACACGAAAAAAAGTCAACACAAAAAATATTAGCAAAACAAAAAAGTTTATTAAAATGTATTCAAAATATTTGTGTGAGGCTCTTATTTAGAGTGCGCTTTTTTGGCAATCTCTGAAAGAGATCTACAGCCTCATGACGCAGTCAGAGTGCACTAAAGACGATGCTATCAATGATTTTTTTAGAATTGAAAGTTAATAATTAGAAAAAAATTTCGTTTTGAAGAAACTAGGCATTTCAAACAAACAAACCTCTTCTACTTTTATTAAAGCTAACTAATTATTAAGACACAAAATTGAATGAAAACTTAAACGAAAAGCATAATTGTTTATTTACTTAAAATAGTTTTATCATTCATAATTGGTAACTTTGTTTTCACACATAAATATGTCAGTAGTGATCAGTTTTATTGACTCTAAATTTTTTTCATCGATCTGGTTTTCATGACGCCTAAAACACAAGTGGCATTTCCTCACCAAGAAAAATGTCACTGACTAAACTTAAAATCGTATGAGAAAAATCATGAACCTTCGATAACATTTTGAAGTCAATTTAGGTACCCCTCAGAACGACCAACCTCTATTAACGACCATTTTACTGTGAAACAGAGATTGTTCGCTAATCAGAGGTTTCACTGTAGTACCTTATTTACGTCGCACTAGAGCTGCACAACAGGCAATTGGTAACGGTTTGGGAAATATCCTTGCGGATGACTCGAAGACTAGCAATTTCCGTTTTCACTCTCTGCAAATTAGATGACTCCCCTGCTTTGGTAGCCCGAAGACCAACCGAGGACCGATTGAAAATTTTAACGAGTACCGATACAGCTCTCCGTCGGTCTCTTCGTCTGCAGGCTAATCAAAGTGATCACCCATCCGACCGCTAACCGCAGCCAGAGACTCTTGACTTCGGTATTCTGCTGGGAACCGTGTCTTACGATCTGTGGGACTGAAGAAATAGAGAATCCTATAGTTGGCGTGCTCTCAGAGGTTGATCAAATCGTCTGATCATAAAAAAAGAGATGTTATGGCTATGTTAGAAATCATTCTCGCTTACTGCATGCAAAAAATTCACAAGCGATAGTAGCGAAATAAATTCACGCACTAAAAAATCGCCGATCAGGTTTTCATTCGCATACGGTGAAAAAAATCCCAGACGAGCTTTCCGAGTGGTAGAAATGGACAGCCAAAATAATTTTAAAACCAAGAACTTGGATTCACAAAAAATTTTTTTAATAAAAAGTTTTAAAAATATCTATGGTTATTTTTAATTAAAAAGTTAAATTATTTTTAAATATTAAAAAAACTAATTTCAAAAATATTTGATCGTTATAAATAATATTATATTGATCCACAAAAATGATTCGTACAGAGTGAAAAGTAAAAAAGGTAAGGAAAAAGATTTTTGATCTAATGATCGGATTTTTACATACTAAGTTCCAATATTAACGGTTTATAGGGGAGACCTCAAATACGCTAATTAGCTAGTGCTAAGTACTTATTAAGTTGTGGAAACTGTCGCAAAAATGTACTTTCTCGGAATAAACTTATTTTTTTCGTAACAGATTTGTATTTTTGAGCATCAAAATATAGGGGTGCACATGTGGCCCCAATAATTTAGACAGGAAAGCGGACCAAAGTTAGTGCCCCTTAACTGTCATCGTGAAGAACTAGGGTTTGATCCCTAGTGGTGGCTTGAAGCCCTTGTTAACTTCATGTCGATGAGTATCAGCTTGTCTGGGAAGTAAAGGTGGTATGTGTGCATTGCTGACCACATTGCCACAGCACTGCCGTTGGACACAAAATTGTGGAAGCTATACATGCATTACCCCCTCCCCCACAACGGGTTGCAGCTGAATTGCTTTACTTATCACAAAATTAATTAAGAAATATGTATAATTTAAATACCTATAACTCTAATTATATATAAAAAATATAAATATGTCATTTGAATTTAACATTTACTTAGTAATAACATTAATACTTAGATAGGATTCAGTGAATATGCTAATAGAGTTTAAATCGGAGTCTAATATTTCAACGACCAACTTCACTGCTCTGGTGAAGACATCTATACTAATTAAAAAGCTTGAAATGTTAGATAATGAATAGTTAAACATGATTATTGAATTACTTTTGATTTAACCCTTTAACGGGCCCTTTATTTCTAGTAAAGGTAAATTAAAGTATTTTTGGAATTGAAATTGTTTTAAGAACAGTAATTGATATTAAGAAAAAAAAACTCATTTAGTTTATAAAAATGCAATTTTTTCGGTGGTAAATATATTTAACATGACCTATTAGGAACTTATTGACTTTTATTTTTCTTTATTTATANATCGGATGATTCCTTCTTGGTGCGTCGATTTTTTTGTTATAGAGTATATATATAAAAATTGAAATATGTCATTTGAACTTAACATTTACTTAGTAATAACATTAATACTTAGAAAGGATTCAGTGAATATGCTAGTAGAGTTTAAATCCGAGTCAAATATTTCATCTATCAACTTCACTGCTCTGATAAAGACATCTATACTAATAAAAAATCTTGAAATGTTAGATAATGAATAGTTAACCATGTTTATTGAATTACTTTTGATCTAATGATTGGATTGTCACGTTCTAGGATTCAATCTTGCAGGTTCGAAGGGGTTGTATATTTGAAGTCACCCCAACTTCAAATATGCTCATAAATTACACCGAAGAGCCATTACATTATGACCACCCTCCATCTATAACAATGGGCTCGCCCAGGTTTTCATGGTTTCTCGCCCATTTACAATGTTTTCATGGGGCACATCAGGACCCATAATCCTCATAGAACAATCCCTGACGTCTGTAAGCTACTTGAACATAGTCGCAGACCAGGTTCACTGATTCATGGCAACAGTTTTTCCTGCCGGGGATGGTGTTTACCAACAGGATAATGCACCATGTTATAAGGGTCAAATCGTCATGGATTGGTTCGAGAAACATTCCACTGACTTTCAAGTCATGTCCTGGCCCCCAAATTCACCTGATCTCAATCCAATAGAGCATATTTTGGTCCTACTTGGGAAACCAAATTCGTGCTGCCACGCTACCCTCTCGCAATGTGAGGGAATTGCAGGACCAGTTGGTAAGCGTTGGGTACCAGATACCTCTGACTACCTATCAGCACCTTGTGGAATCAATGCCACGGCGGGTGCTAGCAGTTTGAGGGCTAAAGGTGGTCCTACATGTTATTAGCAGGGTGGTAATGACTCTTCGGTGTAGTGCAGACGATATTTTAAGTTACGAAATAATTCACAAAGACGTAC